TACGTGACCATTTCACCATGTATAAATAGATTTATTGGAACAAAAATAAAAGTGCATGTTTATTGTACTGAGGTACTTAAAAAGAAGTGACGTATTTTCATCATATATCACCCATACTTGCAACGCAATCAAGAGAAATGGACAAAATTAGCTGACCGTTGTCGGTTCCCTGTTCAGAACTAATTTGGAAGAGACTAAGAATTGAGATAATACTGAGTTTGACATATGGGAAAGTAATTGAACGAAAATTGTGAAGATGATAAAAATATAGATCTTGAGCTTAATTTAACCTTAAAAAATAATTTATAAGGTGAAGACCGCCCAAAGGCAAATAAAGAGATCATCTCATCTGTACAGAGTCGATATGAGAATCTAATGGAATACGAGACTTTTGACTATCGTCCCACATGTTTTTTGTCCATCAGCACTATATATCATGTACAAACAAAAATACCAACTACTACTCATCAGTCGATGTCATGTGCCCCCACTCATCGTTACTATTATTTTCTACTACAATTATTTATGGATGCATTTCATTGGATATTTTTATTTTGCCATTCAAAAATGTAAGAACCAATTACCCCTTAAGTCTTGATTCGTTCGACAGCTTTTGTTTTGTAAATGGACAAATTACCAATTTTTGAGTCAAACTGAACTTAGGATAGTTATAAACTACACGAAAGTACTACTATTGAAATTTCTCTCATGTTAAAATAAAATAGAATATATTTTACATGTTAAATTTGACTTCCAAGAAGTGATAAGCATTTGGGATATAGATTTCTTTTATTCTTATAGCTTGTTTGGATGGTTGTTACCCATCGTATATTTTCGTATTGTTACGTTAAATAAGATGTTTGTTTTGATTGTTACTTAAATTTTATTGTATCGTATCGTTAAATCCGTCGTTACATAACGACGAAATGTGCCACTTTTTGTAACGACCAATTTGGTGTGGTCGTGTCGTTACCTTGTCTGTTTCTCTCAATCTCACCCTTCATTATTATTATATAATTTTATTTTATCATTTACCCTACCTTTTTATATAATTATTTTACCATGTATTATAATTTTCTTTATAACATTGCAAGTTTATTCTTTATGTTGCTGGTGTGTGATATCATGAAACGATGGCAAACGATCCAATCTATCCAAACATTATATTTATCAAACAATACAGCACAATACAATACAATACGATACATTATGAAATAATACATAACAACTCTCCAAACAAGCTGTTAAACTTTTTATTGAGGGTCTAGAGACAAGTCCAAAAGCCAGTACCGCCCGCGTAACAGGATGTTGAGAGGAGGCTCCCAGAATCTAAACATCAAAATCCTACGCCTAATTTATATGATATTTTTGTTTTTTGAGAGCAATCTAACTATTTTGAAAATTAAATTGGAGAAGATCAACTCAATATTTTAAAATTAAAATTCATATTAAAAACATATACGAAAAATATTATAAGTTGTTGACTTGAGCGGTTTTGCTTTTGATGATTGATAAAGGAACACATACATGAACCAAGATCCATGGACAGTGTAACAAGTCACGGTAGATTCAAGTAAAACGCATGCACGTGCAATGGATAAGTATAAGTGGTTATTTATGATATTCCCTGTACGAAAAGATTGCATATTTGGTAAGGTGAAGGACTCCTTACTTGAAGATAACTCTATCCTAGATAAGGAAAGAGTTAAAGATTGAAGTTAACTAGAACTCTTCCACTAAGGAAGAGTAAAGCAATAGAATTCTAGTTAATCCTAATCCTACTAACTCAATATATTTATTTGTGTTCTCTTTCTACAGGTGACGTGACGCACAAACAATGAAGTTAAGCAAGAATTCATGAGAGCAAAATAGCAAGACATTTTGCAAGCAATTCCTGTGTGTTTCAAGAGTGCGAATCAGGAGCTAAATGAACCAGATAGAAGAACCAGTTCCATGTGTCTATCTTTTATTGATCTACTTCAATGGTAGTAGGACTTTTGAGTTATACCTTTCAACTTTCTTAGAAGCAAATTGTATTAGGTACTTGAGTTGTATTGTTAAAGTTAGAGTAAACTTGAAGCAGTCGCAACAGCCTGTGTTTGGTTGCTACAAGGGTTAGAGGTAATTCTTAGGTTTACAAGAGTTTGTAAACATTGTTGTTTTGGCTCAGAGTTGTAATGAAGTTTTGGGGAAAATCCTACTGGATGTAGGTCGTAGTTTTTTCACCTTTTGAGCCGAGTATTTTCCATTTAAAAATACTTTTGTTCTTTACTTTCTGCATTATTTATTCCGCAACAGTAGATTAAGGAACATATAGAAGATCCATAGGTCATGCTATAATCAGTGCACGCAAAAATTGGACACCACACAAATCAACCCCTCCTCTTTTGTGTGGTATTGAAGTACAAAATATCGGTTATAATTCTTCTCTTATCAATATTGATAATGAGAAATTACACTTTAAAATGTTGGATCAAAAGCTCACATAATTTGAATTTCGAGTAACAAAAAGTGTCACATAAATTATAGAGAGGAAGTTACTTTGTGTGTTCTTCCAGAAATTTCTTTCTATTCTCATGCTTTTGGTCTGATTCTTGAATCTTGCCCACCGGATGACTTCAAGAAATTTACTTAAAGTTGTATAAAACCACAAGCATTTGTTTAAACAAGAGAACACAAGGTAGTAGCCGGAGCACATGGATTTGTCATAAGCGGCGGGCGTAGGATTTATCATAAACGGTGTCACTATGCCTAGCAATAAGCCTAACAATCAAAAAATAATTTCTGGAGCCAAAGGAGTTCGAACCCAAGACCTCTCACATCAAACTTGAAGCTGTCAACCACTAGACTACTAAGCTATTTTGAAACAAATAGTATCAGTTTTAATGATTTTATCTTATATTTCTGGTTTACTTAATATTTATACATATATATAGTAAAAAATTTCGACGCCATGTAAATCCGCCCCTATCGGTATATATATAACATAAAGTCAGAAGAATAACGTAAAGCCATGGTCGGGGAGAAGAATAATTAACCAGTCAAATAACACACAAAAGAGGGAGAAAAAGGTTGCCTTAGTATGTGAAAACGATACGTTTAGTTCTTGCCTTTGCCTTTCGGCTTCCTTTATCTTAGTAGCTTTAAATCCTTATTAAAATACTAGAATAATGACGACTTCAGTTTTTATGCTTCGTTGACAAACTTTTTTTTCTGTTACCCTTCCGACTTTTTTTTTTTTTGTGTGTGTGTGTTTGTAATTAGGAAACAATTTTAAGACTGAGAATTGCATTTTTGCTCACGTTGGTAGATGGCTGAATCAGCTTTAATTCAATCTGAACATGTATAATTGGAATAAGAGGAAACACTAAAGGGGAGGCTATTACTCAAATGGTCACTCAACTATCCCAAATTATGTCTTAAAGTCACTTTTCTTTCATTTGTAACAACAAAGTCACTGAACTATGTCTATTACACTCAGAAGGTCACTCAACTAGATTTTCCAAATTTTCGATTGCATTTACCTATTTTACCCTCTAAATTATAAAGATTTATCTTCTTTTTATTTTTTTAAAATATTTTAATATTATGATATTTCCTTTTTAATTTATATTATGGACTTACCTATAGAATAAATAAATTTTATAAACTAAAAAAATAAAAAGTATTTAAGTAGCATCTATAATGCTGGAATAACATAATAATGAACATAGTAAAAAAATTAATTAGAATAATTTGTTCGTAATAATAATTTTAGTATTAACAACAAAAATTCAAAAATTTATTTACACAATTCAGGATTAAAGAAAATAAAGGTTGTAAAATATATATTTCATGCACGTAATATAAGAATAATTATTTAAATAAAGGTATTTTTATAATATACATTATATATTCTTGAAAATATATATTTAAGTCATGCATGGAATATATATATATATATATATATATATAATAGATAATGAGCATAATTTTCAAGAATATATAATGTATATTATAAAAATACCTTTATTTAAATAATTATTCTTATATTACGTGCATGGCATATATATATATATATATATATATATATATATATATATATATATATATATATATATAGATAGATAGATAGATAGATAGATATTTTACAACCTTTATTTTCTTTCATTCTGAATTAGGTAAATAAATTTTTGAATTTTTATTGTTAATACTAAAATTATTATTACGAAAAATTATTCTAATTAATTTTTTTTACCGTGCTCATTATTTTGTTATTCGAGCGTTATAGATGCTTAAATAATTTTTATTTTTTAATTTATAAATAATATTTTTTTATTCTATAGGTAAGTTCATAATATAAATTAAAAAGGAAAAGTTATAATATTAAAAGTTCAAAAAAATAAAAAGAAGATAAATGTTTATAATTTAGAGGGTAAAATAGGTATTTGGCAATCCAAAAGTTAGAAAATCTGGTTGAGTGACCTTCTGAGTGCAATAGGCATAGTTCAATGACTTTGTTGTTACAAACGAAAGCAAAGTGACTTTCGGAGATAATTTGTGATAGTTGAGTGACCATTTGAGTAATGGACTCCTAAAGGGGAAAGAAAGATCAGTGGGTTATAAAATGAGTTAACTTATTACTGCTTGTTTATGGAATTAAAAACCTCTAAACTGGCTTATTTTGTATATGATTATAGGCTTTAATGATTATATGATCATTGGATATACAGTTTTTACTTTTTAATATAATTAACACCTATAGTAAGGCTGTAAGATGATGTGGTTAGCTTTTTTTTTTTTTAGGGGGAAGAAAATAGTTTTTTTTATGCAATTACCCAGTTGCAATACTGGGCTCAGTTGTATTCAAAAAGGATCAGTGAGGGGGCTAAGCCTAACCTCATAAAATACAACTTGGTGATTCCATCACCCAAAACGAACAACAGAAGAAGAAAAAAGAAAAAACCAGAGGAGATATATACAGAGGGGTTCTCCATCTGGGAAGAGCGAAGGATACATCTCTAGCTGACAAAAAAATTAGCTTTGTCGAATTTGGTTCTAATACTTGGTATTTGGCACTTATCCAAGAGGAAATAGCCTTTAGCACATGTAGGAAGTTGTTGATATGAGTTGATAGTCATGCTATTACCCGAGGTAGAAGCCAGATTCGCAAGACAATTTGCAACTTGGTTGCCTTCTCTGTAGCAGTGCATTACTCTTACATCGGCATGTTGTATATTGTGCAGCATTCTCTCAATAACTTGTTTGATTTTAAGATTGTTGGTATCTTTATTTATCAATATGTTTGCAATCACCATAGAGTCGAGTTCGAGGATAAAATTAGTGTAGCCTTGTAGCTTGCACCATTTCAGTCCAAACTCAGTAGCTAGAGCCTCCGCAGTATTGCTGTTATCACACTGGACAACCCTCGAGAAGGCCATAATAAGATCAACATTGCTATTCCTTACGATGCCTCCTATACCTGCTTCGTTGTTTTCTCTGATGTAGCTACCATCGGTATTAACTTTGATACATCCCTGATTTGGTGTCGACCACAGCACTTGACTCCAGCTTTGCATTGGTTTCAATTTTTCGATTCTTTGGCAGAGATCAGGCCAAGGGTGGTGGTTGTCCCATCTTGGTATAATCTTCGAAATGGCTCCTTTGATATTCCAGATAACTTGATGCACCATCATGTTTGGTTGGAACTTCTTCTGATTACCATATTTGCACGATGTCCGTTGTTTCCATAGTTCCCAGCAAATTATTAACGGAGCTATTTGAAGGATTAAGTTATGGACCCTGTTCTTTGAGCTTGTTTCCCACCATCTCTTGAATGTGCCCACCACCGGCTCTAATTGATGCCTTATGCCCAGTGGGTTGCCAATTGTGTTCCATGCTATTTTTGCTGCTTCGCTTCCATTGAATACATGTTCCATAGTCTCAACCTGCGGCAAACAACAACAAGAACATCTAGAAACAATGTTAGTGCCAAATTTATCAATAATATCATCAAAAGGTAGTCGCCTTTTAAGTAGCCTCCATGATAGGAAGGAGATTTTAAAAGGTATAGATTTTTTCAAATCTTACTAATGAAGTTATTCTTCTGCTTTTTCATTCTTACTAAGTCCCAAGCCGATTTGTTATTGAAATGCCCATCTTCAGCTAAATTCCATATTGGAAAGTCATTAAGACTTCTGTTGCCAATATCCACCTTAGTAACAATATCCAACAAGTGAGTAGGGATAGTGTCTACTAATTTGTTTGTGTCCCAGGTACCTTCATGGATGAAATTTTTAACGAGAAGCTTGTGAGATTTACCCTGGCCCTGAACTACCTTGGCCAAAGCACCTTTGCCCGTCCAGTTATCCATCCAGAAGCTAGAGTTGCCTGCTTGAATTTTTCAAATGATATTTGGTTCAGCTTTGATCCTAGCCTTCGTCAGATCTCTCCAAATGTGTGAATCAGAGGGGGTGGGAACTTTGGTAACCAAGTGAGCTCTTTTGCAATATTTAGCTTTAAAGAAAGTGGCCAAAAGGTATGGTTGAGTCCTGAATCTCCACCATCTTTTCAGAGAGAGTGTTTCTGTGATATCTTCCATTCTCCTGACCCCCACACCCCCCTCATCTTTAGGTAAGCAAAGATTATTCCAGGAGGACCAGTGATAGTTGTTTTTTCCCTCAGAAGACCCCCAGAAGAAATTGTTGAAGTGTTTTTCCATAAGCTTGATGATGCCTTTGGGAGGGTTCATAGCAGATAAAATGTAGGTAGGCAAGGATTGGAGAACATGTTTGATTAAGGTTATCTTCCCTCCGCAGGAAAGCATCTTCCCCTGCCAACCGTTTAGTTTTTTCACAATTTTGGCTAGCATGCCATCAAAGATGCTAATTTTCTTCCTGCCATTCTAGATTGGACATCCGAGATAACTGAAAGGAAAGGGCTTGTCCATATAACCAGAATTTCTTCTGATTCTATTAATTCTACTAGCAGAGGTGTTTGGAGCAGTAACAAAGAAACTCTTGTCGTTGTTCACTTTTTGACCTGATGCTTGTTCATACCTTCTTATCCGACTCTTAATGAGTTTTATCGAGTGCTTATCACCTGCGATGAAAATCAATATGTCATCGGCATAAGCAAGGTGTGTAATGATAGGTCCTCTATGGTCCATGAAAAATGGGGTGAAGTTGTTGTGAGTAGCAAGGTTTTTAAGGACCTGGACAGAACCTCAGCTCCAATAATGAACAGGGAAGGAGATAACGGATCACCCTGTTTGAGACCTTGCGAAGATGTGAATAATCCTTTTCTAGCCCCATTAATGATGATAGAATACCACACATCGCTAACCAATCTCCAAATGATATCAATCCAAACTTCTGATGGCCATTAGAAAATTCCACGACATTCTATCGTAGGCTTTAGCCATGTCCAGCTTGATAACCACATTACCCCCATTGTTGTTCTGCCTTATGTTGTGTACAATTTCTTGTGCTAGTTGCACATTGTCAGTAATCATCCTACCCTTGACGAAACCACTTTGATTAATGGAAATTATTTTCTCAAGCATAGGGTTCAGTCTTCTAGCCAGAATTTTAGAAATGATTTTGCTGGTGAAGTTGCTCAGACTAATAGGCCTGAACTCAGAGAAGTTGGTTGGGGAGTCGACTTTGGGAATTAGAATCAGACATGTATGATTATAGAATTTGGTCATGCCCTTGCCATTGAAAAAGTTCTGCACAAAGTCTACAATATCATTCTTGATGATATTCCAACATTTTTGATAGAAGGTGCTATTAAAACCATCCGGTCCCGCTGTACTTGAAGCATTCATAGTAAACACGGCATCTCTGATCTCATCCTCGTCAGGTATTGCATTGAGCAGATCATTATCTTCCTCAATGATACATTTAGGAATGCAATTGAGGACTTCATGATTGCTGAATTGATGCTGAAGGTTAAACAGATGCTTGAAGTGATGCACAGCCACCTTTGAAATATTTTCATTCCCTTGGACCCATGAGTCATTATAATCCTTGATCGTGTGAAGATGTAGCCTACATCTCCTGTTTCTAATTAGACTATGGAAGTATTTGGTGTTGCTATCCCCTTCTTCATACCATTTCTGCTGCGCTTTCTGTCTAAGGATGTCATCTTGCATGCCTAGCCACTTGATGTATTCTGCCTGCCCTTTATTGAGCTCCTCTCTAGATTGATCCGTGTCGTTAAGAGTGTCAATCTCTTCCAAGTTTACCATTTTTGCTTCCCATATATTAACTTGTTCAAAAACATTCCCAATCTTCTCTTTCGACCATCTAGTGAGACTCTTACTAAGAAGTTTCAATTTCTGTTGTAGCCTCCGCATGGGGTTTCCAGGAACTTGAGTGCTCCAAACCTCTTCTACCAGGTTCATGAATGATGGTTGCTCAGCCCAGAAATCTAGGAATTTGAAGTATTTGACGCCAGCTTGAGGCTCCTTTTGACATTTGATGAGGAGAGGCCTATGATCTGATCCAATTCTACCAAGGTGTTTGACCATATTAATCTGGAAAAGTTGGGTCCATAGGTCGTTAACAAAGACTCTGTCAAGTCTCTTCCAAATCCTTTTCCTAGCTCTCCAGTTGTTGCACCACGTGAATTTAGGGCCTACAAACCCCAAATCCACCACCTCGCAATTGTCCATACAGCTACTGAATTCAAAGCTTCTGTGCATTCTGTGAGGGTTGCCTCATTTTTTTTCCTATGGGTCTAGAATTACATTGAAGTCGCCCCCAATGCACCAAGGACCTTTGATGTGAGTGTGGATGTCTTCCAAACTGATCCAAAGGTCTCTCCTTTCATTCTCAGTACATTTGGCATACACTGTAGTGAGATATAGATCACAGTTAGCGGGGGTGTAATGCATCTTCATAGTAAGCTGCTGCTCCTTATTGTCGACCACACTTGTTTGATAGTTCCCTGACCAAAGGAACCAAATCTGACCATTCGTGTTAGCCATACTGTGTTGAAAGCCAAGGAATTTCATATATTTGTCAATTTTGTTAATGCTAACAAAAGGTTCAAAAATTGCCACAAGTTCCACTTTGTACAAGTTGATTAGTTTTTTAAGCCTGGGAATGACTTTTTTTGATTTCACCCCTCTAATATTCCAAAAGATGGAATTAATCATGAAGTCGAGGAAGGTTATTTGTACTCCCTTCCACATTGGAAGAGTTTTGCTTCTCTGTAGTTTTCTTTCCCATTTTTTTGCTTCTGTTTCTGTTTTTGCTCTTTTGGACCAGTGAGAATCCCTCATTATCTTCTTGGTTGCTATGGGCGTTATGTATTTGGTCTTCAGAAATCCTCACCGTAACCTTATTTGGTGAATTCACCTCTATCTGTTGATCATTTTTCTTCGTAGAGTGAGGTTTATTGGTCGATGACTGTGGAGACTCTATGTCTAGTTGAACCACCATATTAATCCCCGGCATCGCTTTGATCTCTGAAGGTATGCTGACTGATCCCTCATTAGTTGTGACAAATTCATTCATTGGCATTTTCATGTGGTTAGCTATCTGCAAAGAACAAATGACAAATAAGAAATTGCTCCTTTTTCTTTTACTTTATCTTTCCCTTCCCTAAAATATACCAATATTTCACCTTAATTGACGGTACAAAACTACAAAATATTGCATATTACATGTAAAAGCCACAAATTATTTACTGTGAAATTCGACTTAATAAAGAAGCACATCCTCTTCACATTTTGAATGTGACGGATAATTTGACATGCATAATTAAAGTTAACAACAAAAAATGATGAGAGAATTATTGCGAGAATTTCAAAAAGGTTAAGCATGGCCTTTGATTATTACAGATATAACACGTACCTTTTTCAACAATGAAAAATTACACAATGCATTAAAAAGTGAATTTCACTTAACCAGCTCCATATTATTTGGGTTTCGGAAAAAAGATCTCATTCATTGGGATTTGGGACGAAGAACCCAATTTAATTTGCTTCAGTCATAAATACGTAAATAAGATAGTTTTTGCTTATTATGGATTATAATAAAAATAATCTTAAAAGAAGATCAAGTGAAAATTTGAATGAGACGAAGTATTAATTTATCATAACCAAGTAAAAAACACGTCTCACATTTATTAAATTAATGAAAATATCTGGTATAGTGCGGGAAATATATATATCGATTTATCGAGTACCAACCTTCAAAATAAGTATGCCACGTGGGATATCAATAGGCTGGGCCGGCGTTATCAATAAAAAATGTGTATTCGGCTTGGAGCCGCAATATTAAAATTTGACGACCAACTTAATTCCAAGTTTGAAAAATCAAGAGGAGAAGGAATTATCAAAGAGTAACATGGAACACAAACATGCAATAAAGTAATATAAAAAACTATACCATTTTAAAAGAAATACTCTCCACTCCGTGTAGTCTAAAACGGTTAAATTGTCTCGTAGTCAATTGTCAACCTTTGACTTCCTTGGGGCTCGTCAAACTTCTCCTTCTATAAATACCCATCCTTTCTTTCCTTAGCCCATCAACAGTATTTTCCATTATTTTAGGAAACTATAACTCACCATATATATACTTGAACAAATCTCCTTCATTCTATATACTGAGAGAAAGAGAGAGAAAGAGATCGATCGTCGAGTCAATGGAGTTTAAACAGTTTTCTCAAGTTGCTATCCTGCTAGACATGGTTGTCATTCTTATTTTCTATGCATTATGTAAAATATTATATTCTTGGTGGATTCTGCCCAAACTGAAACATCAGAAACTTAAGGCAAATGGATTTGAGGGACCAACACCAAGTTTCCCTCTTGGAAATATTAATGAAATGAAGAAGGAGCTGATGAACACAGCTTCTGCTACTTCGTCAGCTTCTCTTTCTGCCTTAAGTATTAGCCATGATATTCATTCATTGGCATTTCCATACTTCGCTAGGTGGCAGAAATTGCATGGTATATTCAGCAGCTTAATTATTGATATTCACTTAAGACTACGTACAATAGGTATATACTATTTTCTTGTTCATTGAAGCATTGTTTTTCCTTATATATATATGCAGGAAAAGTATTTATATACTGGCTGGGAACAGAACCATTTGTTTACATAGCAGACCCTGAATTCATAAAGAAGATGTCTGCGGGAGTAATGGGCAAAAGTTGGGGGAAGCCAACAGTGTTTAAGAGGGACAGAAAGGCAATGTTTGGGAAAGGGTTGATTATGGTGGAAGGAGATGAATGGGTGAGACACAGGCATCTTATCACTCCCGCTTTTACCCAAGCTAACGTCAAGGTATATATCTTTCTTCAAGCACATTTTATATAGTACTAGAAATCAGTTTTCTTTTGTGGCTCCACGTAAAGTAAAATGATTTTAAAACTCAAATTGGTGAATGCATGTGATGTGACTCATCCATAATTCGATTGCGAAATAGTGAAAACTGATGATTGAGTCCCTACAACGTATTAGCAAGTTACTGATTCAAAAATTTATATAAACAAAGGTAAAAATTTTATACTATCGGTATATTTTTTACCTATCATATAAAAAGGCCAAATATATCTTTGTACTATCAGAAAAGGCTTAAATGTACTCCCCGTGAAACTTTGAGTTCATATATATCCCTGTCGTTATACTATTGGTTCAAATATACCTTTTTTCCGTTAAGTTTGTCCAAAAGTGGACATCCAATCCTACGTGGCACTGTCATTTGATGAGGTGGATGCCACATGGCTTGCTACCTCAGCGTCCCTAACCCTATCTTTTTTCCACCACTAAAATTTCCTTCCCCTCCACCACTATTGTCACCATTACTGCTACCATGAAAATATTATTTTTCAAATTTTAGTCTTTTATATATGGATTGGTGGCGCTGAGGTGGCGTGACATGTGGCATCCACCTCATCAAATATCAGTGTCACGTAGGATTGGATGTCGACCTTGGACAAACTTACCTGAAGAAGGGTATATTTGAACCAATAGTATTGCGGCAGGGATATATTTGAACCCAAAATATAACGAAGGGTATATTTAAACGTTTTCTCATAGTACATGAGTATATTTGGCCCTTTGCCGTATATTTTATTTTTGAAGTTACCACATTAGAGTTATCATATATAAACAGTTCCTGTTGTACATTCTAATTACACTTGGTTTCCAGGGCATGGCAAGCTTAATGGCGGAGTCCGCCAAAAACATGCTAGACCGTTGGGCTGCTCTCATCAACTCTGGGAATCCAGAAATCGATGTCGAGAAGGAAATAATAAGTACCGCGGGAGAAATCATAGCAAAGACAAGCTTCGGCATCACCTACAAAAATGGAGAACAAGTATTTAACAAATTGAGAACCATGCAATTCACACTTTTCAAGTCTACACGTTATGTCGGGGTACCATATGGCAACCTCATCATGTGCCCGAAAGAGACTCTAAAAGCTCATAATCTAGGGAAGGAGATCGATTCTCTGCTCATGTCGATCATTGAAAATCGTAAAAAGATGAACAAAGATGATCGTACAGAGCACGATCTTCTTAGTCTTTTGCTGGCAGGGAACGAGAAGACATTGAGTACGAGGGAACTGGTGGATGAGTGTAAAACGTTCTTCTTTGGAGGACATGAGACCACTGCGCTGGCACTCACGTGGACTTTGTTGCTGCTGGCAGTTCATCCAGAATGGCAAACTCAGCTCAGAGAGGAAATCAAACAAGTGATGGGTGATGCTGAAATTGATCCCTCTAGGCTTGCTTGTCTAAGAAAGGTAAGCTAATTAATTACTCCCTCCGTTCCAATTTAGATGAGCTGTTTGACTTGGCACGGAGTTTAAGGAATAAAATAAAGACTTTTGAAACTTGTGGTCTTAAAAGTTTAAGGAGCCATGACATTCGTGTGGTAATAAAAGCTTCTCATTAAGGGTAAAATGGGTAAAATAAAGAGTTTAAAGTGGAATTATTTTCAATTGTAAAAATGTACTCCCTCCGGTCCACAATAAGTGACCAATTTGCTTTTTTTATTTTGATCCAAAATAAGTGTCCATTTATATAATCAAGAAAAAATTATTTTTCCAAAATTACCCTTATGTACGTATCCCTAAAAAGTCATTTACTCATCACATTTGAGAATAGAAGTAAGTGCTATTATAACTATGGTGCTGAAGGGTAGTTTGGTCTCACTAACTATTTACGTTTAGAATTTAGTATTTCCTTAATGGGTGTGCTCAAAACAAATTAGTCACTTATTATGGACCGGAAGGAGTATCATTCTTTTTTGAACGGACAAATAAAGAAAGTGTGTAATCTAAATTGAAACAGAGAGTATTCTCTAGTTTCTGTTAGTCATGTGAACCATCGCTATCATATACTATAACTAATTATCATTGGTATGTCTACATGCTTAACGTTATATTGATCTTCTCATTTATACAACGAAAAAATTAAGAAAGGGAAAAAGTTGGTAAAATTCTAAGTATAATACATGGCCACGTCATAGTTGTAATATAAGCTTTACACAGCCTAATAGATGGCTTTGACCATAAGGATTGAAAATATGATGATCACATGGTACCAACATCGGTCCAACTTGTTAAACAAAAGAGTCGCCGGCAACCGTCATCAGTCAAGCCTACTCGCCTTCCATCTTATTGTCTTATCTTCACCCTTCTAACCAAAAAAAAGGACAAATAATAAGAAGAGATAGAGAGAATATTGTGATCAGGATATTCATTTTTTTTCTAATGCATATATATATGATTTGGCACTGAATTTGAATCATATATGCAGATGGGATGGGTGATGAATGAAGTATTAAGACTATACTCACCGGCACCAAATGTACAAAGGCAAGCTAGAGAAGACATTCAAGTAGACAACCTAGTCATCCCCAAAGGAACAAATATATGGATTGATTCGGTGTCCATGCATCACGACAAGCAACTTTGGGGAGAAGACGTAAATGAATTCAAACCAGAAAGGTTTAAGGATGACATGATATATGGCGGATGTAAACACAAAATGGGATATTTGCCTTTTGGTTTTGGAGGAAGGATGTGCATTGGTAGGAACTTGACAATGATGGAGTACAAAGTTGTCTTGTCTTTAATCTTGACAAACTTCTCCTTTTCCATTTCACCTAACTATAGACACTGCCCTTCCATCATGCTTTCTCTTAGGCCCACACAAGGATTGCCTCTTATATTCCAACCTCTTTAGAATATATTCTAGAATAATTGTTTCTTTTTTAAATACCTCTCAGTTTTATGTCTGTCCTCTCCTATTTCCTCTCGGTCTTTTTATAGAGAAATTGTAAGGAGAGATGTCTTGTGAACTACTCTTCTCTTTTGTATGTGTCAAACTCGTGTGCTGATCATTTCCCAATTAGTGAGATTTATAGAAAAGTAAAATGTATTCAATCTTCATTTTTTCCGTAACTAGATATTTTGAGATTTTACCGGCACTGCTTGTTATTTTTATTTTATTGCTTGCAATAGTATTTTTTTAAAGATATAAAAAAATATTGTTATGAATTGGGAAATTCGTAACCTTAATCAGGATATTGGGTCGAGTTCCTGTCTCAGTTGGGCCGAACGAGTAGAAGTCTTAATTATTAAGTTGTTCTGGGTCTTATTTGTTAGATCCAATTGCCTCTTAATTCCAATCAAGTCCAAACGGCTACACAACTCATTTAGGACACGTGTCTTAGTATTAGTGATTTTGTTAGAGATTTGTCCTGGTAGAACAGCTTGTCACGTAGTATATAGAGAATGAACAGTGTATCCAGAAAATCATCTTAAATGAATATTCTGGATTTTATCAATTAGTTTTGTTTTCCTTAATTTTTTGTTATTCAACATAGCCGTTGCTACATTTGCTATCAGAGCGTGATCCTTGGCAACAATAGTGGATCCTCCTCGTGAGGTCAGCTGCAACGAAAGCCCTGCAAACTTAGAGCAACAGCTGCAATCTTTTATCAACACCTCCAGCAAGCGTATGGAGTAGATAAAGAGATGCAGAAAAGAAATGTTGAATCGAACCAAAGGATAGAGAATTGGGTAATAGATATGCAGAAGAAGGACGAAACTCGAACGACAATGGCGGGAGGTAGTAATTACACGAAAACAGGACAGTCATCGGTGGACGGAGGATTCCGGCCAACTTCATCGCCGGTAACTCCTATATTTCCTACCCCCATAGCTAGAAATCAAAGAAATCTCCATGTAAGCAGAAAGAACTTACCTACCCCAAACACCAGTTTTTCTCACACTAGTTTTGCACCAACACTGAGTGAAATCCTAGCTTTATCCCTTATGAATCCCCACTTCTCTCACACTTACAGCTCTGCTATTAACTCCACCGTACCTGCGTCTATTAGTTCATCCAAGCCTTTTTCTTCACTATCTATCTTTAGCAGGCCCTTCACCCAAGCCCATGTTTTCACTTAAACAAGTCCACTAATGTTTGGAACGTACATTCCTATCTCAACAACGGCAACCCAACCTTCAAATATGGCCCAAATACACGTTTTTCCAATACAACCCAGACACCATATTATGGACCCCAAGATCCTGCAACCCAAATACCTCTCTACACATCTAACCCACCCCATCCTATTACATCACAAATTCATGCATCCATGAACCAATTACCACCCTACTCGGATATGGCTTTACTCATTTTTTTCACTCTTCCAGAAAATTCCCCAAATAATCTTCGTCACATAAAGGCCAAAATTTTGTTCCCTGAATTTGATGAGACCAATGTTAGGGGATGGATACGTAGGTGTGAATATTATTTTGACTACTATCGTGTTACTGAAGCAGAAAAAATAACTTGTGTGGCTATTACGGTCAAGGACAGCTTGGATAGTTGGTTTGACTCTTATGTAATAGACCATGTGGGAGGATTAATTGGAGACAATTTTGTTATGACACTACAAAAAAAATTGGAAATAGCTACGAACGTCGTCGCTAATCTGTCGCTAAAACGCTCGTAGCTAGGAGAATTTCTTGATAATCCGTTGCTAATCCGTCGTTAAATGAGATTAGTGACGGGTTTTTCTGGTTAGCTACAGAATTTGTCCGTCACTAAAACCTAATTTTTTGGTAGTGTGTTTTATGTGAATGATATGATGGAATAGGACCTCTTGATGTGGTTACGATATTTAATCATCTACAACTGTGGGGTTATGTGCTGAGCTATCAAAAAAGATTTGAAGACTTGCGCTGCAGAGTCCAAGTAGTGAGGCCTCAGTTCGATGAATTATACTTTGTGCAATATTTTATTGGGGGCCTGAAGAAGGAAATAGGCTCAATGACGAAAGTTTTAAATCCAAGAACATTGGTGGCTGCATACAATATAGCTAATTTGTATGAACAAGCTTTAAATGCGGCCTCTAAACAAAACACACTTAGGCCCATTAAACCAAGCCATTTCCCTTATCCCAGAAACCAAACTCCTTTTCCAGCACCCAAAAAGCAACAGGAGCATCAACTTCCACCAAACCACCATTACCAAAAATCCCACCATGGAAGCATTACGGGAGAGGAACTTATGTTTTTCTTGTCATGGAGAATGGACACCAGGACACCAGTGTAAAAGTCGTACCCTTAATGCACTTGAAGGAGATGAGCAATTTGTAGAATCTTCAGATGAGGAGCTAGTGAATGAAGTGATTGAAGGAGAGGTGGTAGAACAAGGGGAAGTATCATTAAATGTGGTAATGGGCTTGAGTCACTCACCCAAGACTATTAGGATTAAGGAGTGGGCCAAAAAGCAACAAGTGATGATTTTAATAGATAGTGGATTTACCCACAACTTTATTGACCCACAAATCATTGAACTCTTGAACTTGAAAGGGAAACCATACCGCTGACCCATGAGGGTGCGAGTTACAAAAGGGCAGATAATGCCCAACTCACATAGGAACAGATTGTGTTAACACTGTGGCCCCAATTGTGCTACATGCTCGCTCCCGTAGTGTGTCTTTTTTCAAAGGTGATAAGCTTATTAAATTGGTGAGCAATGCTGAGATGGGCCCAATAGAGGCTAAGGATGTCAGGACCATTAAAAAATTGCTGAAAATGGGCCAATGCATGTTATCAGCCAAATTATTATTAGTAGATGATCCAAAAGAGGAAGATGTTCCCAAGCCAATCTATTCACTGATCCAAGAATATTAAGGACTCTTTCAAGAACCATTAGGGCTTGCTCCAAACAGGAAATCTGACCATGCCATTGAAGTGATACCAGGGTCCAAGCTCGTCAACCAATGACCCTATAGGTACTTTTATGAGCAGAAAAATATTATTGAAAGGATGGTCAAAGAGATGTTAGCAACCCAAGTAATTGCTAATAGTACATCACCTTTTTCATCACCCGTAATATTGGTCAAGAAAAAAGACTCATCTTGGAGGTTTGGTGTTGATTATCGCAAATTGAACAAAATTACTATAAAAAACAATTATCCAATTCCGGTGGTGGAAGACTTGTTAGATGAATTGCAAGGGGCTGAATTCTTTTCTAAATTAGATTTGAGGTCGGGATATCATCAAATTAGGATAAAAAAAGGGATGAGTACAAAACTGCTTTCAAAATGCATCATGGGCTATGGGAGTTTAGGGTAATTCCCTTAGGGCTTACAAATACACCCGCTACATTTCAAGCACTCATGCATGAAATTTTCGAGCCATTCTTGAGGAAATTTATCCTTGTATTTTTTGATGATACTTTGGTCTATAGCAATAACCTCCAAGATCACATTCAACATTTAAGAGAGGTGTTTGAACTATTGAAGGAAAACATGCTTTTTGCCAAAAGGTCGAAGTGTATCTTGCACAATCACAAGTGGAGTATTTTGGTCATGTTGTGCCGGGAGATGGAGTTAGCATTGACTTTGCTAAAGTGGAAGCTATTTTATCATGGCCTCAACCAGTGAACATTAAAGGGTTAAGGGAATTTCTTGGTTTAACTCGTTACTACAGACGTTTTATTAAAAACTATGCAGTAATTAGTAGACCCTTAACACTACTGCTCAAAAAGGGTGCTTTCAGTGGAATGAATTAGCCTCAAACGCTTTTGAGGAAGTGAAGGAGGCAATGGTAAAGGCCCCTGCGTTAGGATTGCCTGATTTCTCCAACCTTTTACTGTGGAAGTGGATGCTAGTGGAGTAGGCGTGGGAGCAGTCCTAACTGTCACGACCCAAGTTCTCCCTCCAATAAATGTCGTGATGGCACCTAGTCTCTACGACTAGGTAAGCCTAACAATTAGCGGAAAAAGAGAATTAAAGGTACGAAACTAGCAAATTATGAGTAATATAACAAAGAAAGTTATAATGCCGCTCGGCATATACAATAACACTCTTTTAAGCTGAACGAAACACTCCCAAAACCCGGAATCTCATGAAATCACAAGCTAGAGAAAATTTTCATAGTGTTCTATCTCCAGAATGTCTAAACCAAAAGTAAATACAGGAAGTCTAAAACTAAAGGGGAGAATAGAGAGGGACTTCTAGGTCTGCGGACGCGGCAGATATACCTCGAAGTCTCTGAAATCGCCCCGCCTCACTGATAGAACGGCTGAGCAGAAGAACCTGGATCTGCACACGAAAAACATGTGCAGGAAAGGGCATGAGTACACCACAGCGGTACCCAGTAAGTGCCAAGCCTAACCTCGATCGAGTAGTGACGAGGAAGGTCAGGGCCCTACTAGTTATACATATAACAAGGTAAAAAAACGTAAAGTGAGACAGTATAATTAAAGATGATAACAGTCAATAAGGATGAAGTTACAGGAAGAAATAACTTAGTACAAAGAGACAACAACAGGGGATCTCCCAGGATAACGTCCCGTAGTCCCAACATAAATGTACAGAGGATCTCCCGGGATATCGTCCCGTAGTCCAAATCGTAAATGTGCAGGGGAATCTCCCAGAATACCGACCCGTAGTCCCAAACATAAATATCCAGTACAGGGGGATCTCCCAAAATATCGTCCCGTAGTCCACATGATAAATGTGCAGGGAGATCTCCCGGAATACCGATCCGTAGTCCCAAAGTAAGCAACAAGGGGGATCTCCCGGAATAACGTCCCGTAGTCCCAAGGTAAACACACAACAGTCTCAAGAAGGAAATCTACAGTTCTATTCAAGAATAACAAGAATTTCTACTCTAAACATGCTTAACAGAATCCAAGTAAACAGTTAAAGCAGATAAGGCAGTTAAGTTACATAATCATGCTTTCCTAAGCTAAACAGGAAGCTTCAGGTACAAGTATTGCTCAGTTAAAAGAAAACACAAATATTTACTTAATGAAAATCAGGATTTTTCAACAATTAGCACGTGTACGCACTCGTCACCTCACGTACACGACATTCATATAGCAACAGTACCAAAATCCTAAGGGGAGTTCCCCCACACAAGGTTAGGCAAGCCACTTACCTCGAACCAAGCTCAATCAATCCGAAATCACGCCCTTGCCACGAGTATCCAACTCCGAGTGGCCCAAATCTAATCAAATCAATTTCATAATGTAAATATAACTAGAAACAACGAGTTTAGCTAAATGAATCGAAGCTAAGGCAAGAAAATAGAAAAACGCCCAAAAATCCTCCCCGGGCCCACGTCTCGGAATCAGGTAAAAAATACGAAAACACCCATTCACTCACGAGTCTAACCATACAAAAATTACTCAAATCTGATACCAATACCTTGATCAAAATCCCAAAACTCGGCCTAAGAACTTTTCCTCAATTCTCCCAGTTTTTCACCCGAAATCCGGAGTTAAATGATGAATTTAAGCTTAGGTTAACGGAATACAATCAAAAAGGAGTTAGGAAATCATTACCCACTGATCTTCTCTTCAAAATCCCCACAGAATCGCCTTCCCCACAGAATACAAGATAGTGATGTCATAGTCCTTCAGCAGCTCTAACCACCTCCTCGGGCGCAAATTAAGGTCCTTCTGCTTGAACAGATGCTGCAAACTCCGGTGATCAGTATAGATCTCACAAGGAACACCGTATAAATAGTGACGACAGCTCTTCAAGGCGTGAAAAATAGCAGCTAACTCGAGACCATGGACGGGGTAATTCTTCTCATGCACCTTTAGTTGTCTGGACGCGTAGGCAATCACCCTACCGTCCTGCATCAATACCGCTCCAAGGACAATCCTCGAGGCATCACAATAGATAGTATAAGACCCCGAACCTGTAGGCAATGTCAATACTGGGGCTGTAGTCAAAGTTGTCTTGTGCTTCTGAAAGCTCTCCTCACACTCATCTGTCCACCTGAACGGAGCACCCTTCTGGGTCAGCTTGGTCATAGGTGCTGCAATAGACGAAAATCCCTCAATAAATCGACGGTAATAACCCGCCAAGCCAAGAAAACTACGAATCTCTGTAGCTGAGGATGGTCTAGGCAACCTCTGCACTGCTTCCACTTTCTTCGGATCCACCTTGATCCTTTTGCTTGATACCACGTGACCTAAGAATTCCACGGGATCCAACCAGAACTCATATTTCGAGAACTTTATATATAATTTCTTTTTCCTCAAAGTCTGAAGCACTGTCCTCAGGTGCTGCTCATGATCTTCCCGACTCTAGGAGTATACCAGAATGTCATCAATAAAGACAATGACGAACGAGTCAAGATATGGCCGGAATACACTATGCATCAAATGCATGAAGGCTGCTAGGGCATTGGTCAGCCCAAAAGACATAACAAGGAACTCGTAATGACCATACCGAGTCCTGAAGTCAGTCTTCGGGATATCTGGCTCCCGAATCTTCAGCCGATGATAACCCGAAAGCAAGTCAATCTTAGAAAACACACGAGCACCCTATAACTGGGCAAGCATGTCATCAATACGAGGCAAAGGATACCGGTTCTTCACTGTAGCTTTGTTCAACTGGCGATAATCAATGCACATACGCATAGAACCATCCTTCTTCTTCACAAACAAGACAGGAGCACCCCAAGGTGATACACTTGGCCGAATAAAACCCTTATCAAGTAATTCCTTTAAATGCTCCTTCAACTCCTTCAACTCAGGAGGAGCCATACGTTAAGGGGGAATAGAAATGGGTTGAATGCCCGGCAACAGATCAACGCCAAAATAAATATCTCTGTCGAGCGGCATGCCCGGTAGATCAGCTGGAAACACATCAATGAAATCACGTAACACTGGGACTGAATAACCTGTAGGGATATCAATACTGACATCTCTCACATAACCTAGATACGCATCACACCCCTTCTCAACCATTCGCTGAGCTTTAAGAAATGAAATAACTCTACTAGAAGTGTGATCTAAGGTACCCCTCCACTCTAATCGCGGTACACCCGGCATAGCCAGTGTCACGATTTTGGCATGATAATCGAGAATAGCATAATGGGGCGACAACCAGTCCATGATACATCAAAATCTATCATGCTGAGAAATAATAATTCGGCTCTGGTCTCGAAACCACTAAGAGCAATCAAACATGACCGATAAACGCGATGTAAAACAAGAGAATCTCCCATAGGAGTAGAAACATAAACAGGGGAACTCAAAGAATCCCGAGATACACCCAAATGCGAGGCAAAATAAGAGGACACATAGGAATAAGTGGAGCCTGGATCGAATAGAACCAATGCATCTCTATGACAGACTGGAACAATACCTGTGATGACAGAATCGGAGGCAACAGCCTCAGTACGGGCAGGAAGGGCATAGTATCTGGCCTAGCCTCCCCCTCTAGGGTGACCTCTACCTCCCCGACCTCCACCTTTAGCTGGTTGGGCAGGTGGGGTAGCAACTGGTGCTGTGATCATAGCCTGGGAACTCTGCGGAGCACGCTGTGGCTGTGAAGTCTGTGGAGGTGCACCCTCCTAAGTCTGGGGCAATCCCTTACCATATGGCGTATGTCGCCACACTCAAAACAAGCTCTGGGAGGACATGGCGGCTATGACTGGCTCAGGCCAGGTCTCCTAGACTGACCATAGAAAGCACCTCGTGCAGGAGGCGCACTAGATACTGGAGGTGCATAATAAGGCTCCTGAGGTCTTGGAGGAGCTGGAATACCACTGGCTGCTGGAAGAGCTGAATGAACGGGGCGACTCATATAACCCCTACCATGACGAACTACAGCTGGGCCACGGGCACCAGAATAATGACCCGAATCTTGAGTCCTCTTGGCCTCTCTCTCCTCTCTATCCCGAGCATGCATGCCCTCTACTCTTCTAGCAATGCGCACCACCTGCTGATAAGAAATATCCATCTCCATCTCCCAAGCCATGCTAGACCTGGTGCTGGGCATGAGCCCCTCAATAAACCGACAAACTCTCTCATGACCTGTAGAAACCAAGGCCGGTGCATGCCTAGCCAAGTTAGTGAAACAGAAAACATACTCCGAAACTGTCATGGTAACCTGGCGCAAATTCTCAAACTCTGCGCGCCATGCGTCCCTAAGGCTCTGGGGAACATACTCCCTCAAGAACATATTTGTAAAATGGGTCCATGTAAGGGAAGCTGCCACAGCTGGACTCACCAACTCAAAAGTACGCCACTACTAATTGGCTACTCCTCGAAGCTGTAAGGCAGTGAAAGAAACCCCACTCGATCCTTATATAACCATTGTGCGGAGGATACGGTAGCACTCCTCCAGAAAACCCTGAGCATCCTCTGATGCTAGACCACTGAATGTAGGAGGCTGGTACTTCTTAAACCTCTCAAGCCTCCGCTGCTCCTCCTCTGAAGCTACTGCTCTATCCTCGGGCTGAACTGGAGCTACAGACGATACTGGTATAATCTCTGGGGCCTGATCGACCTGCACTCGCTGCTCAGGAATACAGGCGGCGGGAGTCTGTGCTCCTCCCCGGCCTAAGATGTGGCTGCAGCAAGGGAAGCAACCCTGCCTGAGCTAGAGTGGTGTACATGCTCATGAACTGTGCAAGGGTCTCCTGGAGAGCTGGAGTAGTAGTAGCACTAGGTGTATCAGGCACCTGGGCTCCGGCTGGAGCTGCTGGTGGCTCCTCTGTAGCAGCTCGCGCAGGTGCTCTGGCCGCACCACGTGCGCGTCCTTGGCCTCTACCCCAGCCCTGACCTCTGACGGCTTTGGCAAGGGGCGCGGGTGCCTGGTCATCTCAGGTAGCTTGTGTCCTCACCATCTATGAGAGAATAGAAGACAGAG